AGCTAAAAAAGGAGTTTAATTGTGAGCAGTTGGCCCCAGGGGTGGGAATTTTCCATGAGCACATCCCTGCCTTCTCCAGGAGTTCCTTGCCATGAGCATAAACACAGCTCAGGCTTTCTGCTCCTCTGTTATTCTCCATTTCTTGGACTCAAGATGAGTCAAAAGCCTGATTGTGATCAGGTCCTGCAAGGCTTTGGGGATATCTGTTCTATGTTTTATGGTTCATTTTTTCATATTTCAATTTTTTAGGGGGATTTTTTCCCCTCAGTGTTCATCTATGTGGAGGTTTGTGTGAATAGTAACCATTGATTTCTTCAGCTGAAGGAAATCCTTTCTTGATCCCATCTTCCATCTGAGCTTTTCATATGCTCACACTGTTGGTGTTCCTGAAAAATGTTTCATTTCTAACTTCTGGCTCCAAAAGAACACAAAATTTCACCTCATCTCCAAGGACTTGGCCTTCAATCCCAAACTAAAATCCTAGAAAGGATTTTATAAAGGGGAGGGACCTTTAAATCCCATCTCATTCCACCCCTGCCATGGGCAGGGACACCTCCCACTGTCCCAAACCCCAAAGTCCAACCTGGCCCTGGGCACTTCCAGGGATCCAGGGGCAGCCACAGCTGCTCTGGGTCATCTCAGAGCCTCACAACTCTCATAAATAATCTAAAATCTCTCTTCCTTTAATTTAAAACCCTCTTGTCCTATCTCTATCTCCCCATGTAAAAAAAAAAAAACAACAACTTGTTCCCCCTTTTTTAAATGCCCCCTCCAAATTCTGGGAGGCTGCTGGAAGATTTCTCCACAAAAGTGTGCAGGGATTTTCTGCCTGTGAGGAATTTCACCTACAGAGAGATGCCTGCAGGGATGCTCTCAGAGTCAGGGAAGTGCCAGTGTGGAAACAAATCCAGAATTCTGGTCCAGAGGGAGATTTATGGGAGTCACATCTCAGTGAAGCTCAGCAGGATCCCAGCCTGGAGCCCTGGGGAGACTCCTCAGCTGTGGAATTTGTGCTCCTGGGAGGCAGAGGGATGAGCAGGAGGAGATTCCCCTGAGCCTGTCCCCATCCCTCATCTGGATTCTGTGCCCTGGGCTCCCTCAGCCGGGCTGGGACGTGCCCTGGTGGCTCTTTTGACACCCTGGGACATGCCTTGGTGGCACTCTGATACTCTGGGACATGCCTTGGTGGCTCTTTTGACACCCTGGGACACGCCCTGGTGTCTCTCTGACACCCTGGACATGCCCTGGTGGCTCTATGACACCCTGGACATGCCCTGGTGGCTCTGTGACATTGGGACACCCTGAGCTGTGGGTGTGAGCCCCTCTGGAGCAGGTGGGAGGCTGGCAGGACACACACTGACAGAATGTCAATCCTGTTCTCAGGTGACATCACTTTCCCTTCCTCAGGTTCAGTTTCAAGCCAGCAGTGTCAGGCTGTGACATCCCGTGCCTGCAAAGCACAGTTTGAATGGTTTTTGGGGTTTTTTTTAAGAATATTTCTTTTCAAACTGCTGTCAAATCCTCCCCAAAGACACATTTTTCTGTTCCCTGCCTCACTATTAACACCCCCTGGGGCTGTCAGCAGCAGAAGCTGCTTTTGGTTGAACTCTCAAAGGTTTTTAATCATCTCTTCACTGTCAATAATCACAGAATCAAATCCCAGAAATGTTTATGTTGGAAGGGTCCTTTAAAGCCCATCTCATTCCTGCCTGCTGCCATGGGCAGGGACACCTGGTCCAGGTTGTTCCAAACCCCATCCAGCCTGAGTCAAAAGGTTTGTGGACATCACATCCAGGGTTTGAGGATGAACAGACATCGCAGTGTTTACAGAAATTAAAAAGTGAAGACAAGAATCTTACCAAAGATTTTGGGTTAAAATAAAAACAAGCAAAAAAAAGCTCTAAAGCAAAGCAGGGAATGTGTTGGTAAGCAAAATTTACTGATAGATTGAAAAAGGAAATGTAAATATGTCAATTTTGTCAATATGTCAAAATTGCAACATTTATTTCCTTACTGGCAAATTGTTATCTTCTCTGGGAAGCATTGCCCATGGGCCTCTTCTGGATCCTGCCACTTACCTAAAAAACTCCTGATATTTTGTGGCTAAAGGAAACCTGAGAAGCAAAGACTAACACATGAAATTGTTTTTGTTCTGTTTCTGTGTAGAAAGGAAGAGTTCCCAGTCCACGAGCTGTAAGAAATTGATCTGAGCTTGAATGCAATGTGTCCATTAATGGCACATCTCACAGGAATTACTCTGCAGTCAAGGGACAAGTTTGGTCCTGCTGAAGGCCACTGCCACTTTCATGTGGTGTTTTGTTAACAGTGGACCCAATTTTTAAGGATTTATTTTGAATGTGTTGCTAAATATGCAGAGAAATTGTGCTGAGCAGTGCCTGGAAAACTTAAAATCCATTCCCTGTGTCCTGTCCCTCCATCCCTTGTCCCCAGTCCCTCTCCAGCTCTCCTGGAGCCCCTTTAGGCTCTGCAAGGGGCTCTGAGCTCTCCCTGGATCCTTCTCCTCTCCAGGGGAACATTCCCAGCTCTCTGCAGGTGCCATTTCTTTGGATGCAGCCCAGGACACATTTGGGCTGCATCCATGGCTGGGTTGTGTTCATGTCCTTGGGGCTGCTCTGTCCTTTCCCCTTCCAGCCCCAATCTGTGCTTGGCATTGCCCTGACCCAGCTGCAGGAGCTCCCACCTGGCCCTGCTGGATTTCATGTGAAGCACTTTGGTGCTTCCACATCAGTGCCTTGTCTTCATTTTCTTCTGTCTTCACTCAGAGTCAGGATTAAAAACACAAAGGGGACGAATTTCTCAGACTTGGTTGTTTATTAAATCTTATCTAAAGTACAGAGAGTTCTGTAACATTTCCAGCTGCCAGCTAAAAGTGAGCAAAATGGAGATCAGCTTAGCTGGTTACAAGGTTTTTTAAATCTAAACAGTCCAATAGAGAATTAACACCTGCATTATTTATAGTTTTGACCCAATAACCAAACTCCTGTGACCTGCAGTGCAGCACTGACTGTCCAACCAAAAACTACTGCCTGAAACCATGGAGAAGAAGGAAGATGAGCCCAGAAAGAGACACCACCCCAAATCCTCCATCTTGTCCCACACCCATTCCTATATTATAAAAACCCCAAATCCCAAACCCTTCCCCGTGTGCAATCACACACTTCTATTTCACTGCACACCCGTGATTTTAACTCCATCCCCCACATTTGGAGCCTCCTCCAAGGGCTCAGCTCCAAAGCAGTGTTCTGCAGGGGGGCAGTGCCTGACAGCACAGAAAGCTCAAAATCCCCAGGATTCTGGAATCCAACACACATTTTGTGGTTGATGTTGGTGTTCCTTCCATGTCCACGTTCAAGAGCAGCATAAAAGTGAGGAATTTGTTCTTCCCAAGTGGGATAATTAGTGCAGGGTTGGGGAAAAGTTTCTTGTTCCTTTATGTCCTTCCAATAGAGAGGTTGGACTCCATTGCAGAAGGAATTTGAGGATCACTCCTCCACAAACTGCTGGTTTTGGATTGGTGATAAGAGATTCAACCAATTCTTCCTCTTCTTTTTTTTTTTTTTGGATGTTGAACACAACATCCTCCAAAGGCATCAAACTTCCATCCCTCCTGTGCCAGCTTCCCCAGGATCATACTCTGAGAGGGATTTTGCAGAATGCAAATGGAACAATTCTTGAAGACTTCCTGGACAAACCATTTCTGCTCTTCAAAGCCAGGCTTATTTCTTTCCTCTTCTTGCTCTGTCATTGTAAAACAACGATGCAATTCCATTTATTTTGGTGAATCAGTTGTTTACCACAACACAAAGGCTAATGCTCTAATCCCTGTGTTCCTTAAGGATTTTTCATCAGTCTATGTCAAGTCTATCTGCTCTGGCAGAGAAACAAAAAATACTGCAGGAGAAAGGTCACAACATCTGGCTGAGCTGGTTTGTGCTGTAGCAGAGTTAAAATTGGAAATTGTGATGGCTCAGGCTTTCTCAGAATGTTTTCAGAAGAGTATAAAAAATTCATTTGGGTGATTCATGGAGGAGGCAGGTCAGAGCTCTGCTATAGAAAAAACAACCCCCAAAACATTTTCTCTGGGTGTTTTCCATGACTTTGGACTTCCCAGCAAGAGCAGTGACCATTAAATCACCATTTCTTTGGTCACAGGGCTATTGCTATTGTCACCTCTCCAAATTCTGTGCACCCCACGTTTGACAAGACCTCAGCAGGGAATTTTGGTGAAATCCAAATGACTGTAACTCAACTGTGGCACTGCTTGGCTCCTGCAAGCTCCAAGGCTGGGATGGTTTTGATGTGCCTGTTGTTTAATCCTCACAGTCAGGCTGTGTGTCATGAGGTCGAGCCCAGAGCTCAATCAGTTCCAAATCTGGAAAAACACAATCAGCACACAGAAAAAAAAAAAACCAAACAACAACCCAGCCACTGGAGCTCTTAGTGGCTTTTGAAAGAGCTAAATTCTGTTCTGTGCCAGAAATTGCTCATTCAGAGGCTCATTGAGCTGCATTTCCAGCCCTGAGATATTTTCTGAAAGGGAAGAAATGTAACAGAGCCTTCTAGCAAGGGAGAGGCTGTGTGTTAGAGCAGCTCTCATGGGAGACAGGGCTGAAATTTCACTTTTTTTTTAGTGATGGAAATACCTGAGGCAGCCACCTGCTCATCACACCCACCTCTAATATTGCAGGATCCATCACCCTGCCCTATTTAAGGGAATATTTTGGGTATTTCCCACCCTAAAATGAGGGTGGGAGGGGAATGATGTGAGCTGATTTTTAAACTGCTGCTTGTCCTGCTCAGATTAAACCCAGCTGTCAGAATCCCTCAAGGTAAGAAATAACACAAATTTAGGCATAAAGGAGCTCTAGATTTTAACCTGTGTGTAAATCACCCTTTTGTCTCTCTCTGTGTCTTTGTTTAAAGATTTTTTTGCCCCTTTTTCCCCCACCTAAATTCAGTGTTGTTCCTTTTTGCTGCAGCTATCCACAGTCTCAAGCTGAGCAGAAACCACGTGGACTGGCACAGTGTGGATGAAGTGTATCTGTACAGTGATGCCACCACATCCAAAATTGCAAGGACTGTTACACAAAAATTGGGCTTTTCCAAAGGTAATCCTTCCCAGACTTTGTAAAGAATATTGTAAATGCAATTTGAAGTTTGTTGCTCTAACTCCAAAAGGATATTTTAGGTTTTAATATGAGTAGTCCAATTTGGCCATTGCATTTTTTACTTTATATGAGTATTCAGAGTCCTTAGCTTGTGTAAATAATTGTAACTAGATGTGAATATTTTTAAATTTTATTTTATTTACATTACATATTTGATTTATTATATTTTTATTTTTCCCCTATTTTGATGGGTTTGGATGCAGCAGTTTGGACTACATGACAAATACATGAAAATATTACAGTGGCAGAGTCCAGAAGCTACTGTAAAATTAGAATTATTCCTGTAATAATATAAGTATTACAGTTCCTTTTGCCTTAATTTTAATTTTAATTTTACTTAATTTTACTTAATTTTACTGTTGGGTGTCTCTCAAGGAAAAAGCAGATTATTACCAGCCTAGAAAAAGGGAATTTGTCCTGTACAGGACACCAGAACAAGAACCTGCACATTTGGTTTGTTCCTTGAAGAGACAAGGTCAGGTCCTGGGTCTGACTTTAATCTGCATCCCCCTGCCCTGTAATTCATGCTCCTGGGTGAACACTTAATTAATGTTTCCTAAAAAATTAATGTCATTGAGTGCTTCAGTTCCAGAAGAAATGAAGTAATTTAGCCAGAACACCATTGGGATAATGTGTAATAAATAATGAGATTTCTCCTGAATGATTTGTGGGGGAGAAATATCAAAGAGAAGCTCACTTGGTAAACAAAACAAAAATGCCCTTAGTGGGTTTGGGGTGTTTTACTCCTCTTTAAAAGCAAAATAAGCTGTTAGTTCCAGTTTTTGAGGGCAGCACTGGTGCCTGGTGTGGTCCCCTGCATGTCACTAGAGGGGGATGGAGGCACATTGTGCCCATGGCTTTGTCAGCACAGCAGGGACAAAATGCCCACATTTACCCTGGGGAATTGATTTTGAGTCTGGCCAAGGAGCTGGAGAACCTGGGGGGGAAATTTCAGGTTGGATCAGCTCAAAAGAAAGCAAGTTTTCCCTATCAAAATGATAAATTTTAAAGGTTTTCAACCAACTCTCTTAATTGGGGTGGATAAAGTGACAACATTTAATGACTCCTGTGGGCAGGTCATTTCCATGATCCTTCCATGCTGTGGGAGTAAGGTGGAGACAGAAGGAATTTCACTGATTGGGACACTCAGGAGAAGGGTTTTGTGTTGTAAAACCGTGTGCACATTTACACAATTGTTTTCTGAAGAGCTGTTCTTCAAAACATACCTGAAATTAATTCCCTTTGCATTGGCAATGGATACTGACATCACCTGGCTGCCCAAATCTTTCAGGGTTTTAAAAGTGCCCGTGTTTAAAAATAGATGCTAATCCTTTAATTTTGTGATTCTGTATTGTATAATCTGATTTTCAATGTGTTGGCCTGAGAAAAGCCAAGCTTCAGTCAGCAGCTGAGAGCAGTGCCCTTGGCAGAGTGTCACTGATGTGGGGTAAATGTTCTGTCTGCAGCTTCCAGCAGTGGCACGAGGTTACATAGAGGTTATGTAGAAGAAGCCACGTTGGAGGACAAGCCACCCCAGACGAGTCACATTGTGTTTGTTGTGCATGGCATTGGGCAGAAAATGGACCAAGGGAGGATCATCAAAAACACAGCCATGTGAGTGCTCTGGAATGCTTTAATTTAAATACTTTAATTTAAAGGTGTTGTGAGTGACAGCAGAGCTTTTGGTTGGGGCTGAATCTTTTCCCTGTTTTCCTCCTCTCCTCCTGACTCGTTAATCTCTGTGTTGTGGCTACACTGTTTTTTATGTTAATTTTATGTATGGACTCAGGGAGAGCAGCTGTGAGCCAGAAGAGCAAAGATTTATTCTGATTTGATCACCAGCACTTGTGACTTTTGGGGAACCTGTCAAGAGGACATAACCTCAAGCTGTACCAGGGGAGGTTCAGCTTGGACATCAGCAGGAATTTCCCCATGGAAAAGGTTGTTAAGCATTGGAAGGGGAGGTTTAGAGTCCCCATCCCTGGAAGTGTCCAAGGAATTCCTGGATGTGGCACTCAGAGCTCCGGGCTGGGGACCAATGACCTTGAGCTGGGACTTGTTGACCTTGGAGATCTTTTCCAGCCTAAAGGAATCTGTGAAATTCTGGCTCCTGTGCTCAGTGACTTTGCTGAGCAGGGAGAGGTTTCTCATTGGGTCAGAATCAAGGAGGATGTTGTTTCTAAGTGGATTTTTTGATTAAGTGGAATGGGAAAGTTAATTTCAGAGTGGAATCTCTCAGAGCTCAGAGTTGGGATAGTGGGTGAGCAAATTGCATCCTGTACAAGGGGGGAGATGGGGAGATGCAGGAATGTTGTCATTCCTAACAGGACAGGAGTGAAGCTGTTGCTGTGAGGCTGCTCATGGAGCTGTGGCTGAAAAGCCAAATGTGACCAAAAGGCTGTGAAATCTCTTCACTGAATGGCTTTTGTGGTTTGGGAATGATGTTTCCCAGAGCTGGGGCTGCTCCATTCCTGGGACTGTTCAAGGATCACTGGTCTGGTGAGTGGCATCCTCACTCATGCCAGGGGTTGGAACTTCAAGTCCTTTCCAACCCAAAGCACTCTGTGATTTTGTGCTGAAAAGATGGTTTTGAATCCTAGAAAAATATTATAAAGTGCTGATGACAGCTGTGTGGGGGACAGGGTGGCATTGAGGAATCCTTCATTAGCTGAAAAAGTGTTAATTACAGATCTGGATGGTTCAGTAGGTGTGTCCCAAATAGCCCCAGGTGCCATCAGCCTGACAAACCCAGTGGCTCCAGTGAGAAGAGCTGGGATTTTGTGGTGGCAGCTCTGTCACCCTCCCTTTGCCTCCAGAATGTCACTCCAGGTCAGTGCTCGTGTGCTCTGTGCCATCCTGTCATCAGCCTCTTGTGTCCCCACAGCTCTTTGTGCCACTCCAGTGTCCTCTGGAGTGCCAGGGTAAAGCTTTCCATGTCACTTGTGTGTCATTTGTCACCTCACAGCACCAACCTGCAGCTCCCCACCCTCTTTCACTGCTCTGGTATTCACCTTGTTTAAGAGCCAGCAATCCAAAGCAGAGAGAAAAAGCCTTTGGTTCAAAGTTAGTCACCAAAATGAATTTAAAAACTTCCATTTTTGTGGGATGGAATGACACTGGGAGTGCAGATAGCCTCAGTAGAAGCTGCTGTTTTAAAAGTGACCAGAAATAAAACTCCAGCCTTGCAATCATTAAATTTTTCTGCTTTATCTTTCTGCCTCCTCTGTTTTCTATGGATACAGGGGTTATATGGGTGGATTAACTTCAGCTCAGGTCACAGTGTAGAGATGTTCATTCCATAAGTCCTGTTCTAATTGGCAGCCCAGCATATGAAATATTTGCTCAAAAAGGGACACAAGACTTTATGTGCTTCAGTAAATCCCACTCATATCCTCAAGAAATACCAGACAGCATTGCATAGCCTTTTAAAATGCTAATTATTGGCATAAATTCTGCATTCTGCACGAAATTTGCAAATTAAAGCATCATTTTAGATTGAAGTATCTTTTTTTTTCCCTTTTCCCTTTTTTTTTTTTTTTTTTTTAATAACAACTTAAAACTTATCAGTGAGGAACACCCCATATGTTCCAGGGAGAGATTTCAGAAGGAATGTCTGCCAAGCTCTCACAAGCCCCACTGGCACTTTCTGTTAGCACCTTCATCCATGATATTTGTGTGCTGTTTGGTTTTTGGGGTGGTTTTATTTTACATGCTTTTCCATTAGGGACACAGTGGTGCCTATTGAAAAAGAAAATTAATAAAGAAAAGGATTTTTTTTTACTGTTCACGCTTTGAAATCGAAACTAAGGAGAGAAGGTGTCAGTGGGGTTATTTTGCCTTTTAAATGCACTTTTTTTTTTAGTAGGAAACCTGTAGCTGGACTTTGCCAGAGCTCATTTGGCACATTCTGTCCTCAGGTTACCACCTTGAGCAGATGCTGCTGCATCATTAGGCAGATCCTGCTGGTTACAGAGGTGAAAACAGAAAACCCTTGTCCGGGGAAATTCCAAATTATCCACGCTAATTTCATTAAGGACTGCAGCTCAATCTCCTCATTAGTGTGGCTGGATGCTGTGGTTGCAGGGTGTCCTGTGAGTAGGTAAATGGAAAAGATGCATTTTATGGATGCTTGGATGAGCAGATCCGTGGTGGATGTGACATAATTTTGGTTTTTTTTCTCTGTGTAGTTAAACACATTTATTATCTAAATGTAGCACAGCAGCTGGTGCAACAAGCTGCTGCTGTCAGCTCTGATATTCACGGGGAGCCTGGCTGGGCAGTGACAGTCCCTGCTCCAGGCTGGAGCACGGATTCAGCTGCCCCAGCATGGGCACAGTGATGTGTTGGGACCACAGGGATGGGGATTTAGGCTTTGTAGTCTGTATTTCTGCCTAACCGGGGTATTATGGCAGAAGGAGCTTTAGTTGGAGGGGGTTTTATTTGCCATCAGGTGCAGAATCCTGAAATTCCTTGGTTTGTGATAAGGCAGAGTGTTAGCTTTAAAATAAATCTCTCTGGGATGTTTTTTTGCTGTAGACACTCACATATTCTTCTTTGGAGTGTATTTTTTTCAGAAGGTGATCTGTGGTTCTGTTGAATTTGTGGGTGGAGGAGAGGGAGAGATGTTGTGACACAAATTGAGTATAACTCAGAATCATGGAATGGTTTGGCTTGGAAGGGAGCTTAAAACTCATCTCATTCCTTTGGCAGGGGCACCTTTCCCTGTCCCAGGCTGCTCCAATCCCATCCATCCTGGCCTTGGGCACTGCCTGGGATCCAGGGGCTGCCACAGCTTCTCTGGGAATTCCATCCCAGTCCCTCCCCACCCTCCCAGCCAGGAATTCCCAATTCCCAATATCCCAATATCCATCCCTGCCCTCTGGCAGTGGGAGCCATTCCCTGTGTCCTGTCCCTCCATCCCTTGTCCCCAGTCCCTCTCCAGCTCTCCTGGAGCCCCTTTAGGCTCTGCAAAGGGCTCTGAGCTCTCCCTGGAGCCTTCTCTGCTCCAGGCTGAACATTCCCAGCTCTCCCAGCCTTTCCCCCTAGGAGAGATGCTCCATCCCTGGGATCATCTTGGTGCTCCCCTCTGGACATCTAGGAATGTTTGTCTCCATGTTCTCAACCTCCTTTTCAAAGCTGCTGTTGTTTTACCTGACCCAGGTGAAGGTCACACCTTTCAGCTGCCTTAGGCAGGGTTCAGACTTTTAGGCTGAACTAAATTTCATCAGCTCCTGTGCCTTGGGGGATGAGTGAAGAGACTCTCCTGTGTTTTTCCATAACAGCTGCAGTGTTGTGTCACTTGTGGGCTGCTCTCAGCCTAAAGCTGGGCTCTGCCTCTGTCTGAATCTCCTGTTTGGATTCCAAAATCCCATTTGTCTGTGCTGCTGCTCCTAGCACAAGAATTGCTGCCTGCACAAGCACCAGCATCTTGGCCTAATCACCAATTACATTTTTATTGCAAGTCCCATTAGCAAGCATTTTAATTGTGGATTATCATTAGGATAATTACTTTGGAATAGCTATTTTGGTACATTTCCATTGATATGCAAGCCTGGGCAGAGCCTCTCAGAAGCTTTTCACTGCATTAATGTGTGCTGCTGGAATTTCAAATGAAGATTTGCCTGTAAAATCTTTTCTATAATTTTAGCTCTTGAGGTGTTTGGTAGCTTTATGTCCTATTCAAATGCTTGCATTGCATTAAATACATATGAGATGCTTGTTTTTCATCCTTTGGTGCAGGTATTAATTCAGAATTAAGCACCCAGCTGGTAAATATTGGCTTACAGGTTTCAGCTTGAGCCTGTCTTGCAAGAGAAGTTCAGGCCAAGAGGTAAAAGGTGATGGTTAGGGCATGAAATGCTTTTGGAACAGCTTGTTTTGTGTGTATTTATTACCTAACACATAAGTTGTGTTAGGTAATAAATATAATAAGGTAATAAAGAGGTAATAAGCTGCATGTTGGACAGGAGCTGGAGCAGCCTGCTCAGGATTTGGGTGTATCCCCAGGGCTGCTCCCATTCCCAGCCTCTCCTCATCCCTTGTTTGTGCCTTTTCTCTGCCCACACCATCCCTGCTGTAACCTGGATCACTCCAGTTGGTCTAAAAAATTGGGATTTCATCAGAAAGATGGGAGTGAGGGGTGTGGAGTTGGGAGAGGGCAGTGGGGACAGGGAGTGCCTGCAGTGCTCTGTGCCAGCTCCTCCCTGCAGGGCAAACCTTCCTGCCCTTTGGAAAACAGTGCTGGAAGAGATCCTGAAATCTGCCAGGATTGTCCCAGGATCCTGTGACCAACCAACAAAGCAGCTTCAGTTCCTCTGATCATGCAGAATCCTGTAACTCTTCAAAAGCATGGAGTGTGGGTCCCAAAAGGATGGAGTGTGGATCCCAAAAGGATGGAGTGTGGGTCCCAAAAGGATGGAGTGAGAATCCCAGTCGTGCTTCCTTTCTTTTTATCCTAGACTTTCCACCTCTCCTCTGAAGGAGGATGGGTCTGTCATGGATG